TGCAGGAGAGAGACAAAGAAAATGAGAAAGCACTCACCTATGGGACATGGTCACACCATAGTCCCCTCTCCCCCTTTTCTATCTCTTCTAAGGATTTTAGGCATGACCACACAGTCGCCTGACATAGTTCTCAAATAGTTAGGTCTGGGACTCAAACAGTGTAGTCAGTCATTTGGGAAGCACCCACCCAATCACCATGCCACAGAATGGCTTCAGATTGTGGGTTTTAATATGCTTTCCAAATGAAGACCTCACAATGTCCCTTTTCTACTTCCGTCACATACTCTCTCTTCTTATCCGTGTCTAAGTCACCCTTTTGATGAATGTATTAATTGAGATCTAAAACAGGAGAATGAAGCACTCAAGTATTTGAAAAAACAGAGAATTAATTACATTGGTCATAGCAGGACTGAAAAGCTAAATAAGGAACAGGGAAAGAACGCAGAACAGTTAGCAACAGCAAGAAATCACTCACATTATCAATGTGTATTGTTATTTTCTTTGAATATTAGAAACTGTTCTGGGTCCATTCAGGACATACTCTAGAAACAAAGATGGCAATCCTGGGCTAAGCTGTAGGGATGGATTCTAGGAGCCAGATGAGCAGGGCATAAAGGAGAATGCTGGTGCTTCCTGGGCCTTTGTGGGAAATAGGCAAAGCATGCTTTTCCTGGTGTCACTTGATAGACTTAAAACTTCTAGGAGCACCCTGAGCTGAGGGTCTCAGTTCCAATAAGCACCTGTACATGTGAACAAGCACCTTATAAGACATTTTTTTTCTTTTAGAAATATTCAGTTTTTACAGAGATACAGCTTTTCATTTCAGTGAGTCAAAGAGATATACATATCTGGGAAGAAAGGATACTTAGATGACAGCATTTTGCTTTTCTAAATACTGGCAGATTTTAAATTCATGCTCAAAACAGCAGATCAGACCTCACAGATACTCTTGCTTAAGAGTAGATTTAACTGGAAGCAAAATAATCATTAAAGCTCTGGGTTATCTGCAATCACTCCCCCCACACTAGAGCCCTCCCTCATCTATGCTTCGTCTCTTCAATTTGGACCCAGAATTCTGCTTTTATATTCTTCATTATTCTTATTTACTTGAAATGATCAGGTTTAAGTCATTTACAATTTACAATTTTAAATCAATTTTAAATTAATGGCTGCCTTATATATTTACGTGATGAAGCTGACCCTTAATATTGGCATAATATTTGGGGAAGATTTTAAAAATAAGAATATGAAAGATGACAAAAGACAAGAATATTTTGAGTAGTTTGGGTATAGAATATTTTAAAATTAGTGTTTATATAACCAGTATGAATAGAAAAAAATTTTAAATTCTAAAATAAAGAATTTTAAAGTAGCACATGTACATCAAATCATAAGATAAAGTTTAATACATTTGACCACGTTAAAAGACACAAAACACAGCCAATCTAACCAAATTTCAGGCATGCATTTACATAAATATATTAAATTAAGAAAAAGAAATTATACACTTAAACATCCTTTTCACCTAAAAAAAAATCATTAAATCCACAGATCAACAATAAAACCAATTCTCTGCATTTACCACTTCAAGATACACTTGTTCTATTTTAAAGATAACACAAATACACTTGTTAGAATTTATATGCATTATACATATATTATATATTACATAGATAGTGTGTATACATATGTAGTGTTTGTACAGATAGATAAATATATATACATGGGTGTGTGCCCACATAGATACACACGGACGTACTTTAGGCCATCTGTACTATTACTGCCAGATTCTAACTTTGAGCTGAATTGGAGCTGTTTGGATGTGGTTTATTGCCTTTTGCTTGAAACATATTCACCATACCCACTGGGCTCACAACTCCCCTTTGTAAACCTTCTTGCCTTTTATATAGCACATCATCATGCTAGGCACTTCAATAAATATTTGTTGAATTAATAAATGGCTGGCTGTCTGAATAATAAAAGATCAATCAAAGAGAGCTGCATACTATAATAACTTGGTTAAATGAATCAGATTAATTCAAACAGAGTGATGTATCTAAGTCAATGTCTTAGCTTGTTTCCTTTTTACAAGAACATTTAGAGAAATCCCAACTAGTACATTATATTAACTCTGTTGCCTTAAACTTGTACCTGCTTTTACCCTTGTGCCTACAGCCTTCTGCCTCTTTTTTCTTTTTTTTCTTTTTAGCAGAAATTCAAGTATGAATTAGTTCTGATATCTTCTGTGAGTACGGTTAAGGATAAATTATTCTAATTTTCAATAACCTAAAAGAAAATGCATAACTAGGAAGACAAAAACATGTGAGAAGAATGATAAGCATAATCATTCTTTGTAACTGGACAAAGGTAGTCACAGATATATCCAGGAAAGCTGCAAGGTTTTCATTTCAGTATTATTTTATGCTTTTAATGATAGTTATTTGATAATTTTTTCATTATAATTAGATGAATTTCTTTAAAATAAATAGTCTCTAGTAGTATGTCCTGGGGAATCAAGTTCCAAACATGTCATGGTACCCCATTATCTTCATTATCATTTATTTCATTACTACTTGGTTCTTGGTGAAATGAATGTTTGAACATATCTTGAAATATAATGAGGTATGGGAAATATCTGACACCTCATAAGGATGTCAATAAACTGACTTACTAACAGAATTATTAAAGGGTCTCTATTGTACGTGAGATGCTAATTTATTTTAGGAAAGGTATGTCTTAGATGTTTAAGAAGGGGAGATAAAGGAACATGTGACATATATTTTAGGCATAGACCATACCAAACCTGATCACACCTTGTTCACGTGAATGGAAACTGTTGACTAGATGTTTTTCAGTGTGAAGAAAACGTACAAGAATTAATTTCTAACTATGGAGAAATTATGTGAAGCCACTATCCCATCACTTTTAATATTTACTTATTTCTATACACTATACACTAAAATTTTTATTTTTTAATTGAAGAGATTATAGTCAATTGAGATAATTCACCATATATGTATGTTAGCCTCCCTGTATATGTATGTTTTGGATTTAAGTAATACATAATTTACTATGCAAAACAAAACTAAACCCCAGAAATCCTGATTGAAAAGAGATGTCTGACTTTGATGTAGAGGAGAGTTAATCTTAGAGCTATTGTTGAATTGATACCATTTTTTTTATGTCACTATGTAATCTGGCTAAAAAAAGTGTTGCAAGGGATTCATTATTTATTTCTTATACTTCCACATGACTTATATGCGATCTATACAAATAGGATGGGGGAGCGAGGTAAATGGTAGATGTATCTTGTGTTTTATTTAATGAAAATTCAAGAAAAGTGCTAATCTTATAAGTGAACAAAGCTCTTTAGAGCTGCTAAGGAAACATCACAATGACTAAGAGAAAACAGCGCTACGACACTCCTTCACACTCCCACTAATACATCTATCTTACTGTCCTGAAAAGTGATCTTAAATCAATTTCCTAAACTTAGAGGAGATAATTAAGAGAATGTAGAGTGGAGGTTGGTGAAGAGTAGTGTTTGGCAAGTTTTACAGTCATGTTTTTAATATCTAAATGCATCCACTCTTAGGTTTCCCATGTTCCTCGACATCATATTCATTATTGGAGGTTTGGTCGATTCATGTTGGTGGGATGAAGAGAAAGAAGGTAAGAGAGCAAACATGCTTCTTTTCATATATTCTAAAGACGAACTTTCTGATGGTATTGGCAGCCCTCACAGTAACAGGCCTGGGAAGTATTACTCATGGGAAATAATAAGTATTATTCCTTCACTAGGAATACATACATTTCTGGGCATGAGACTTTGGTCAGAGTTTCCTGGAAGTTCCAATTTAACCCACGGATGGGAGAAACCAGATTCTGAAGTCTCCATTGAGAAATCAATTCTTGTTTTTAGAACTTGGAATACTCTTCTTCACAATGCATTCCATAGAGATGGTTGTTGCTTGGATAGTAAATAGCTACTACTGTTAGCTCCAGCTCTTGGCTGGAGTTATTCTCCATGTCTTCCCTGTGTCTATGATAGACCAGCTGGACTGGAAATCTAAATAGGCACGAATTTATGCGTTTCCTTACTTCTTTCAACAATTGTGATAGAGTCTATTATTTGATATAAAATTTGAACAAATGTGATGCCAGGAGAGAATGATTTTTAGGAAAATAAAGGAAAGATAATCAGCAAAATCACTAGCAACCTACCCCAGGAGCCCTTCTTTACAGGTGTTCTGAGGCCATGTTCATTTGTTCAAAACCAACAGAAAACAAAGGACAGAGAAGAGGTAAAAAGGAAAAAGAGAAAAAGGGGAGGAACGAGGTCAAAGAAAAAGGGAAAGATTTTTGAGAGAGAGAGACAATGTATATATTTTCGGTAATATTTCGTACAGATGCTCAGAAACTAATTTGTTAATCAGTCAGCTATAAATTACCTATGTTATACTTTATTTTTCCTCTTAAAATTTTTTGGGCTTGGGACCAGCAGTTAGAGTAATGGCTATGTAGCTGAAGTCCCATGTAGTCAACCGCAGTTTGAGTCCCAGACCTGGTGGCTTAAACTTATGCCAGGCGCGTGTGTGTGCATGCCCAACATCCCGAGGAGAATGGAGGAGAAGGGATTGTGGCGTGGCCATCCCCCATGGAGGGGGGAGGGTGATTTCTTGCTTTCTGTCTCCCTGTCTCTCTTTCCGGCGAACGCACGCGCCCCATAGCAAAAAACCTCTCAAAAAAATTTTTTTGTTTTTGGTCTTGGCTTCTTAATGCTTTAAAGTTGAGAGACTTACTAGAAAGTTAGGTTAATAAAAATGTAAATTAATGTGTACTTTGAAAGACCCTATAAATAGTATCTAACCTCATATCGTATACTTAACATTGACTTGTTCAATAGTTGATGATTCAAAGATAAAAACAATACAAAAATGGATTAAACATTGTTATTCCATCATTATGAAATTATTTTTAAAGAAATAAATAAGGAAGAAGTGACTGCTCCAAGACATGTAAATGAAAAAGAAAACAGTTCTCTATTCAGGTTGTTTCTATATGCTATTTGTGTAGGTTTCTTTGATCTTCCCTTATGTGACAGCCCATGTTAAAAATCACCTAAGAATTCTTGATAATAAAAAAAAAACTGTTTTACAATAACTATATTAAAATAAAATATCAAGAAGAAAAAATATAGAGGGAAACATTGTTGTCATCAGTGAAGTTCTTAAATCTATCTTTCTTTGCCTTTAATGATCTACTAATTGAGTTTTCTCTTCTGTACCCTAAATAACTGGAAGAATGCAAGGTTCTGTGAGCCAGGATGAATTTGGTAGAAACAGTGGTAGAAAGGTCATTTCCAACTCTAAAACTACTGTTACCTCATTTCACATTCAGTTGATACCCAAAGCTTAAGCTCTAGAGTGGACAAAGGGATAATCATATACATTTTTCTATTTCTTTATTTCATTTTTACCTTACACATCCACAGCCATACCAAGAACATTTTTCTTTCATTTTAGATTGTGTGCTTTCTGAACTGAGTAGATGCTACCTTTCATGTGAGGAAACAATCACTTTTTCCCAACTCCTACTTGACCAATTCCTACCTGCCTCTCATCATGAATCACTGAAGATAATTCCCCCGTCATGCATTTTTAAAAATCTACTTGAAAGAAAAGGGTAAATAGACCTTTCGAATGGACCACTTCGTTTGAAATATGTAGCCATCAATTAGCTGTTACTATCTACTTTCTCCTAAGAACAGAGAGAAAGGACACCAACGACTTGACTTTCTTTGCTTGGGTTTAATATCCATGGATCTCACTATCTTTTTTTTAGAAGAATTTCGTCTTTTATTCTAACAACTCACAATAGACCAAGGAATGAATGGCACCTGGGGTACATATGTTTTTCTAAGTCACTTGAAACTTTTTCACTTGGGAAAGAGCTATATAAAAAATCTGGGTCTGGTCAATTTAATATAGATATTTTAAAATAGTAGAACGAATGGCAATAGAATACCTTTTCTTTGTGGGAAGAGATGGAAAGATTAAAGATGTAAAAAGAGACACTTGATTTTTTTTTTCAGATTTTGCTGAATATATAGCAGTATCCTTATTGTTTTCAGTGAAACTATGAACGGGAGAATGTGTAATAAAACTGCACAATTTGACAGATTTAGACAGCTGGCTCCCTCACAAGAAGTTCACATTTTGTTAATGTCACCCACGTTGAATAAGGGATGATTAGATGGTAAGGTCCATTTACAAAAATGGTTGTCAGGACATTTTTTTTTTTTTTTTAATTGTAAAACTTTCTGTGATGGAATTCAGTAAAAGCGCTATGGAGAGAAAGCAATGGAGACAAAAGATTGCTATTAACCTACAGATGCAGGCTACTGCATGGTTCATTGCAAGATTTGTCACACTGTTGGGCCAATGAAGTGTTGGTGTGACTAGAAGGGACCACCCCTTTACTGGGGTAAGAGGGCAAATTGGTCTCCATGCTCATTTAATCCCGAGACTTCTTTGAATAGACTGTCAATTGAATCTAAATTGTGCAAAATTATGCATGCACTTTTTAATGCAGGCTATTGTTCACTAAGCACTGAACCAGGATTTCTCAACCCATTTCCATTCGGCATGAGGTCACTTGGAACTTAAGTAATCATATATGGAAGACAAGAGCAGTGTACTTAACCAATCTTTTGACATTGTGGTTTCTATATAAATCCTCACTGTGGTTTAATTGCAAATCTCTCACTTTAAAACAATAGAGAAGTACTAGCCACAAGTTTTTTTTTTTTTTTCTCCTTTTTCTTAAATGAAGGCTAATATTCCTAAAGGTAAGAAGGAGGATTGGAAATCGACTAACGCTGCCTAATCTATACTACTCTACAATTTAGATTCTAGAGGAATAGATGTTTACAGAAGAACAACTAGAGGGGGCGTGTGTTTGTCATGAGTAGAGGTGTTTTTTCAGTAGTGCAAAGAGGCCTTATAATTTTGTTCAAAACCCAAATGCAGAGAGCTGACCTCAAAAACCATCAAGGAAAGTGTCTACCAGAATCCTTTCAGTTTGAAGTTAGAACATATTGTTTCCTTAAAAACCTGAACCGAACACTTACAGAAAATTTATTGACACATTAACCAGAGAGTATTTTCATTGAGTTCTGAAGGAACATATACATTAAAAGTCATATTCGGCAAGAATTGCTTATATTAAAAATGTGTACAAGCTGACATAGCCAAGATTTGTTAAAAACAAGTGAACGCTTCTCCAGTGAGGTTCAATTCACTGAAATCTGCAACATTCTAATCACATATACTCTGACAATTTTGCTATGGTGAAAAGCATTTTACAAATGTTTAATGCTGGAATTTTATAAGAACTGGCTGTTTTCTTGCTTTTTCATCCGTCGTTAATGATTACATGTTGGCACAAGGACACATTGCTAGATTAGATCCACAGCACATTAAAGACTGTTTGCTTTCTCACTCCCCTTCTTTCCAATTAAGTTGGTGAAAAATGTAACTTTAGTATTTTACAGGACAGGGTAAAGGTGTTTCATCTAGGTGATGTCTATATTATAAAAATAAAATGAAAAATATAAATATGTAACACAAACCCAGTGCCTATTGTTAAATAAAATATATAATAAAAGCAGACCTTTTAGGAAGATTGATTTTAAACTATGCTGTTATGATTTAATTATAAAACATGTGAAAACAATCTTGAGATTAAGCTGGAGTAACCAGATTTCTCTGCCAATAAAAAGGTAAGTGTATAACATTTTGTAATCAGATACATGGATAAAAAGGAAGATTACAGTTTTATATCAAGTTGCTCATTTGGTAATTCATCAGGGAGTTCTGAAATGTTCTCTCATATTATAGTCCTTTAATATAAAAATATTGCCTCTTTTTTATTAGAGCCATCAGACTGCACAGCGATGTTTCAAAACTCCATTAAAGTTGACTGTAGTTATTACAGACAGAAAATTCCTGGAAAGTCAAATAATCTCTTCTGGTGACATAAAAATTCCGTTATCATTTTACAATGGAATTTCTGTGTAAATTACTCCACACAAGGAAGTATATATATGTTTTTAAAACCCATCTGTTATGCAACGAAAGGTGTAGGGGTTATGAGTGTGTGTGTGTGTACGTGCATATGTGAACAAACGTGCCAGCGTACACACAGAGGATCTGCACATTTCTGGAAATTACTTTTAAGTTAATAAAAGAAAAATGAAATCACAGGAGTGTGTAGCAGGATAACAGTCTTTCTTTTTAATGACAGGATAGAAAATAAATGCCCGTTGGAAAGGAATATTCAAACAGTCCCATGAACTATACAATGTAACTTGTTAGATCCAGCAAATAAGATGTCATGTCAATGATCTGATCAAGAATACCTGCCCTGGTCACTCTGCGGATGTTTCTGTCCACCTGTTCACATTGAGGACCAAGATAGCCTTTTTTGCAGAGGCACTTGTTCGGTCTAACACAGACACCTCCATGACGACATGCTGGCTCACATTTTGCTGAAAGAAAAAAATAAGCGAGAATACCACACTCATTCTTTATGTTGGAAACAGCACTGAGTATGACACCAATAAACATTTGACAAATAAGGAAAGGGAGGGAAAGGAGGAGGAAGACAATCATAAAAACAATCTGAAAGATAAATATACAAGTAGAAAGAGGGCTTTCAGACTCAGTTCTTTGGAGGCCAGAACTCAGCAGAGAATGGGAGACATTTCTAGAGATGCAGAGATCATAGGAAATTGTTTCAATCTTTTGCAGAATTGACTTTATTTAAAAGGAAGATTGCAGGCTGGCCTATGGTCTAGTAGTTAAGAGAGCCAAATTCCACGTGGCTGATGGTGGTTTGAATCCAGGCTCTGGTAGCTTGAAAAACAAACACATGCTTGTGGGACCAGCAGTTAGCATAATGGTTATGTCGCTGAACTCCCATGTAGTCGACCGCGGTTTGAGTCCCGCACCCAGTGACTTAAACTCACGCCAGGCGCGTGTGCGTGCGTGTCCAAGAATGGAGGAGAAGGGATTATGGTGTGGTCATCCCCCCTGGGGGGTGATTTCTCGCTTTCTGTCTCTGTGTCTCTCTCTGTCTTTCTGGTGAGCGCATGTGCCCTATAGCAAAAACCTCTCCAAAAAAAAGACAAAAAAAAAAAAGACCAAAAAAACACATGCTTGTGTGTGGGTGCCCCAAGTTCTGACAAGATAGAGAAATGAAGGAGAAGGGATTATGGCATGACCACACCCTAGGGGAGATGCTTTCTCTTTCCCCCTCTCTCTCTCTCTCTCTGTCTTGCTATCTCTGGCAAGCATACATATCCTTTGGCAATTACAGAAACTGAAACAAAGATTCAATCTTTTTATATCTCTGTTCCAAGAGGTTATTTCCAAGCTCAACAAAGGTCTTTCCAAGCTGTGTGTTTCCATTCCTCCTGGCTAGGACTTCATGTGGGAGGCCTGAGAGGGAGGTGCAGTGGCTTGGGCATCCCCAGGAAACATACAGGAATGGTCAGTTTGGGATTTTGGTTAGCTGGGATATCTGCCACATGGATTCCTTGGGAGTCCTCCTTCTTGCCTCCAGAGGGCAGATAGCACATGAGTCGCTCTCTGATTACACTTTTGAAGTCTATTCCTGCGTTCTGAGCAGTCCCTTTCAGAGTTACTCTAAGGCATTGGTCCCCCATCTTCTTGGCATGAAGGATTGGTTATGTGGAAGACAATTTTCCCATAGACCAGGGTTGGGGAGAGGGTGGTTTTAGGATTCAAGTGCATTACGTTTATTGTGCACTTGATTATTATTACATTGTAACACATAATGAGATAATTATACACCTCAGCATAATACATAATCTGTGAGAGCCCTGAGCTTATTTTCCTACAATGAGATATTCCCATCTGGGGGTCACTATGAGAGTCTAATACCACTGCTGATCTGACAGAAGGCAGGCCTCAGACAGTAGTGTGAGTGATGGGGAGGGGCTGTAAATACAGATGAAGCTTTTTTCACTCGCCTACCTCTTATTTAGCTCTCACAATTTTAAAAGATAAAATAGCCTGTTTATTTTTTTCTTATGCATCCTTTTCCTATGTATTAGCCAAAACCCTGCTGGGTTTTGGTCAATGCATTTGGAAAAGTGAAAATGACTCTGTCCCCTCAGAATATAAGGAAATGTATTCAAGGAATTTGATTCTGTCAACAGTGTCTGCCTTCCCCAGATTTATCATATCAGTAACTGACCCAATGTTATGCTTCTGTCCCATTTTAGCAATAAATCTTTACATTCTCTACTTATATTACAGAGGCAAAAAGTCTTTAATGAAGAAAGTTTGTGCCTTAGAGCAGGAATCTCCAACCCTGGGCCACGGACTGGTACTGATCTGTGGCCTGTAAGGAACTGAGCAGCCACACAGCAGGAGCTGAGCGATGGGCAAGTTTATACATAGAAAAAAGAAGAAAATAAACAGGCTATTTTGTCTTTTAAATTTGTGAGAAATAAGTAAACTATGTGGGTATGTGAATAAATGTTCATGCCTGGGGTCAAAATATTCCTAATATATTAATTTTATAAAATGTTTTCGGCTTATCTCATACATTCAAATTATTTATATTTATTTAGTGGAAACTTTATCGTACTTTACTGAAATAAAACTTCAACTAATGGGGAACCAGCAGTTAGCGTAATGGCTATGTCGCTGGACTCCCACATAGTTGACCGCGGTTCGTGTCCCGGACCCGGTGGCTTAAAAACTCACGCCGGGCGCGTGTGCGTGCGTGCCCAAGATCCCGAGAGGAGAATGGAGGAGAAGGGATTGCGGCGTGACCATCCCCCCTGGGGGGTGATTTCTCGCTTTTGGTCTCTATGTCTCTCTCTGTCTGTCTGGCGAGCGCACGCGCCTTACAGTGAAAATCTCTCAAAAAACAAAACAAACAAACAAAAAACTTCAACTAATGCAAAGAATATCTATTTTCCTTTATAGCATATATTACTTATTACTATTCTTTATTGAGGTACGAATAACGCTGACTGTATTAAAAATAATTTGTTCTTGGGACCAGCAGTTAGCATAATGGCTTTGTAGCTGAACTCCCATATAGTCGACTGCAGTTTGAGCCCCGGACCCAGTGGCTTAAACTCATGCTGGGCACATGTGTGTGTGTGCCCAAAATCCCAAGAAGAGAATGGAGGAGAAGGGATTGTGGTGTGGCCATCCCCCCAGGGGGTGGGGGGATTTCTCACTTTCTGTCTCTCTGTCTCTCTTTGTCTTTCTGGTGTGCGTATGGGCCCTATAGCAAAAACTTCTCCAAAAAAAAATTTTTTTTTTTGTTCCACCTCAATTTAAACATACTGTCATTGGGGCTGGCAGATGATGTGGTGGTTAAGGGCACTGGACTCCCACATAGCTGACTGTGGTTCGAGGCCCGGGTCTGACAGCCTA